AATCAACCAAAATCGGCGACAAACGAAAACAACGCGCGCACGCGATCGGCGAGTGTATACAAATACAACCTCAGCCCGGGCGCAACGAACAGACGAGAGAGAGACAAAGGAGAAGCCGGCAAGCCGAAATTCTCCGTCACAAATGATGGATTTGCGTTAGTATTGAAGATGATGAAGTGCTTGGAGTTCACCATCAGACCGTCGGCGATTAATTATTCAAAGAACAAAGACGAAGATAGAGTAAATCGACAGAACCACCGCTCTGAAAGCTGTACGAAGGAAGCTTGTTAGGCAAAAAATATGAATGTAACTAAAGAAAACGAGGGAGAAGAATTGTTATATGATCCAGGGATTGTTGATTAGCAAAAAAATTGGAGCTGTAGGTGGTGAGTTAAGAATAAAATCAATTTTTTTCAACGGGAAACTTTAAACGCTGTTTTCTCGAAATGAGATTTTTTCGATTTTTCAAATTTATGTAAGAGATTGCTCAACGAGTTTTCAAGTTATCGGAAAAAAAGCATTTTAAAGGGAATTGAATTTTGTAGTCGATGAACCTATTGGTTTTTATGAAAAATTATTTTTTAGTTACTTTTATGCAATAACAATAAAAAATTGTTTGAAAGATTTTTTTCAAAAGTGTGCTATTTTGTCAAAAAATTTTTTAAATTTTGTAGATTAGGTTCATCGACGACATTTTATTATAATAATGATAAAAACAATCGATTTTTATGTTTCAGAACGACGTAGCAGCCGTGAGCCTTTACATAAATTAGGGTAAAAAAAACAAAAGGTTCCCAAGTGGATGACGTCAATACGTGAAAGTTATTAAGTTGTTGATAGAAAAAACAATTTTTTTGTATTTTCAAACCAAAAATAAATTACTGTCAAAATTTCAGATCAAAATATCCATTATTTTCCTGAAAAAAAATTCTAAACGTTTCCTTACATTTTTAGCCATCTACACGAGGATATCCCCTTAATTTGGTTTGAATAATGTTCCGCTTATCACGAGTGATATTTCTATGTAAAAATTTTCCATAAATTTATTGTAAATTACGTGTTATTCACTTATCTAACTTTAATCACTTATAATTTTAAGAGGCGATTTTTCCTTGAAAAGCGATTTATACTAAAAAATTCGTTATCTTTGACTTGATTTTTTAAGTCACTAATTTTTAATTTCGAGCGAAAATTTATGCGAATATCAAAAATCGCATCGTACGGGCTACCAAGCGTAAAAAGGAGCCATTTTCGCAAGTATAAATTCACTCGTCGTTGCGGCAAGAGGACTTACAATCCTACCTTGCCTAGCAGCTCGAGCACTGTTTAAAATAAAGATTCAGCTATTTCTTGAGATCGCATTTCATTATTCAGTGGTTAGCCTGCTATTCCTTTCCTATATGATAATCTGAGCACTCAACTCATGAAACTCTCTCTCTCTCTCTTATGAGAAAAAACCACTCTTAAACTATCTCCGCTTTCAAAATTAATATTGCCTAGAAATTGATGAATTTTGTTGTGACACTGATGATTAAAAATCTATCGCGTCATGGGGAATGGTAATTCCCACGAGCCATGCAAGAGCCCGTGCCCAAATGTTGTATCACAAATTATTTTTAAACGGGAAGGTAAGGAAGACTCTTTCGCTCCTCTGAATGATGACGATGGGCCTCGTCATTAAGTTAGCGTTTTGGGCTTCGGCTTTAGAGGTAAGGCGCACACAATAATTACTCGCGATAATCGTTAACAATATTTATTCTCGACTTTTAACAATAAAGAGAGACGACACGAATTCACGCGATGTTCTCAACGCCGCGTGCCTGCGCTCGTGCGGACAATCGCACGGGGGCACCTTACAATGATTTGAGAAAATACAAAGGAGGGACTCGTTACAATTATGGAATTCACTGTGTTCATGGAAGATCGCGCTTACTTCGCCGACGCGTCGCGCACTCGCAGATGTAGAGAGAAAGAGATAGGGAGAGAGAGAGAGAGATGATCTGACCTGGGGAAGCTGGCAGTAATCGCCGCTGATGCTGCTGCAGGAACTTTTGCTGGTAGTTGCTGTCAAGAACTGTTGCTGGTAATTCCGCTGCAGGCAGAAAATACTGCTGGACTACAGGCAGGCTCGTGGCAGGCTCAGAGGTGGATTGCTCGATGCTATCGTCGTTGGAAGTCCTCTCTCCTTGCTGCTAACTGCTAATCGTCCTCTGATTCTTTGTCTGAGTTGTTCTCTTTCACGTGCACACGCTCAGCCGTCAAACGATCCATCTAACTCTGAATCTCTGCTCGAACTCTCTCCTTTAATCGTTCGCGCATCGGCTCGAGCAATGCCGGCGGCTTCGCTTTCGCGAGCGGATCGCCGCGGGTCACTCGCGCTCACTTACTCTCTACTCGCGACGCGTCATTCTCTTTCTTTTCTTCTTGCCGCAGCCGCTCTCACTCCCAATTAGCTCCAAATGACGATGCCCGGCTTAGGTATTGGTTCTGAAATAAAGCGGTGCGAGCATCAGTATCGGTTCGTAATTTCAAACGCTCGCCAGGGTAACAGCGAAGGAGCGTGGCTGCGAGAGCGAGAGAGAGAAAGAAAGAGACACAGGGCCGGCTATGCTAGCCAGGGCTCCGTCACATTGTAATAATGGAAAGAAGGTAAATAGTGAAAGATGGAAATTCACTTAATTTTAATTATATTTAGTAACGTTTCGTCAGCACATTTGCTGACCTCTTCAGGCTTTATTAAAAGAAAAACAACAATATATTAACAATAAAGTTGCAAATGTAATTTTAATGGCATATAATTATATGAATATGTGTGTACCTGATTTCTCTCGTAGTGAAATTATTATTGGCTAAAACGAATAGCTCGTAGCCAGTCACGTTACAATACAGTAAGAAATCAAGTATTTCAACACATATTTATATATTCTTCTTCTATCATCCCTTCCTTATCGATCTTAATAAAGAGTTATAAATATGACTAAGATATTGTATATCATCTTTTCTATTTAAAGTGTTTTTATGTAAGCCGATGTGCAACGTTTGGGATATTCTGCGTTTCTTATAATTCTATTCATAATCCAATATCAAAGCTTTGTCCCAGTTAAATTCGTGTGAGAGAGTTGTTCTATGTGTAGCTACTACTGTATCTGAGTCAATAATTATTTATTGTGTTCATTTAATCTAATTTTTATGGATCGCTTACTTTCACCTATGTAGACCGCTAATCATTGTTTGCAGTTGAAACTGTAGAAAATACCAGTATTAAGTAAAATTAATTCCAATTTTGGAAGGAGGAACTTTTTTAAATTTCTCAAAATTGGAATTAATTTTACTTAATAAATGGAGAGTGCTACATATAATAAATACCAGTATTGTCTAATAAATCAGATTTGCCTTTTTCCAAACGAATGAACGCTTGTAATGGTTTCTGTAATAAAGGGATTGAAGTAATATCATGTTTTTTTAACACAGAAGAACATTTTTTAAAGATGTTGCAATTATTTGGAATAGCGACTGTAGGTAGTTTTTGATTTATTAAATTCTCAAAATTATTCTTCCCTTTCTTATATTTGTTGATCCGTTTGTGTATGTGTTTTTTGATAAATTCAGAATGATAAATATTCTTTTTCAGGATATTAGTAACTATTGTTAAATTACGTGAAAGAAATTTTTTGTCAGCAAGTAAATACGCCCGGTCAACTAAATTTGAAACTATATTAACTTTTTGATGAATTGTATGTCTTCTGAGTTAAAATTCCAAATTCTGTCAGTTTTTGTTGTTTTTCTAAACCAGTCAAATTCCAATTTATTATTATTTTTGATCAATTTTTAGTAATGATAGATGCAGAATATGTGTGTGTGCGTTGAAATACTTGATTTCTTATTGTATTGTAACGTGACAGGCTACGAGCTATTCGTTTTAGCCAATAATAATTTGACTACGAGAGAAATCAGGTACACATATATACATATAATTATATGCCATTAAAACTACATTTGCGACTTTATTGTTAATATATTATTGTTTTCTGTTAATAAAGCCTGAAGAGGTTAGCAAATGTGCTGACGAAACGTTGCTGAATATAATTAAAATTAAGTGAATTTCCATCTCTCGCTATTTCCCTTCTTTCAATCATTACAAAATTTATTAAACCTGATATATCTTTGCATATAATATGAAAACCGAACGTTTTCTCGCTAATTTTTCACGCGCACCGTTATCAGGGATAAATGTTGATAGGGCGGGACTCAGCCACAAGATATACACAGGTACCACAGACAACTCGTGTACGTCCGTACGCCAGTCGTGTACCCGTGAAATATAAAAGTTTTCGGCGAGGTTACATACAAATCAAACAAATCTGCCGGGAAAATCAGAAGAATAACGGGTGTATATGGTCCATGAAGCACCGACCTGTTTCAATTGCCGTTTTTTCATTAATCTTCTGCATGCGAAGTTAGCGCCTTTCTCTATCTCTCTCCTTTTCTCTCCTTTTACTCTTCGCTTTTTGCCGTTCCTTGTTTTCACTCTTCTTCGCTCTCTTTTGCTCTGTCGTCCCTCTCGACTTCGCCAATCGCTTTCCACTGTAGCTTAAAAAATAAGAACGGCATGAGAGTACACGTGCGCACAAACACATATTCATACATACACACACATTCTATCTCAGCTTGGCACGGTGTGCGGACAGCGATAAGATCCCAACGGAGAATACCGACTGAGCATGATTCTCTGCTACAACTTATATTTAAATATTGTAATTTCATTGTAATGGGCTTCTCGTTTAATAAATTAATAAATAAAATAAAAATAATAATTATGCTATTGAATAATAAAAGTCTCTAATTCCAATATATCTATAATTTTTACCGTTGACACAGTGATAAAATTGTATTCAAAAAATAAATTGTTGCATAAATGATAACTTTTCAGAATATTTAATTGAGATCTATACATATAATATATCACATGTTTAACTTTTAAATAATCCTATGTTTTTCAGAACGATTTTTGGAGCCTTCGTGTTAATAAAGAAAATCAGGAAGAAGAATTATATTGTTACCATAACTTAGCTATTTACAGTAAAGGAAAACAAGATGGAATTAGTTCGCAAACTTCTTTTTGTTGCGAGTCTAAAATAACGCATGCTTTATGGTGTACATTTTACGTGGAAGATAAATATAAATCATCGAAAACAATTTCAAATAATCTGGAAAAGATTGACACAACTTCAGTTGATTGTATTTGTTTATTTGATACGTATACTATGAACGTTCATACCGAAAACGGGGAAAATTACGTATCTAGTCTACCATTTAAGGTAATTTACTTATTGATTACTATTAATTTAACAGGAGAACTTAATTATTTCATATGCCATATAACAGTCTTGAACCTAAAAAAACAGTCAATGCTTTTATAGGTTTAATTGTCGATAAAATAGAAACGGATCGTCCAATGAGATACTATAGTATATCTAATAATATACTACAGTATGTATAATAATATACTACAGTATGTATAATAACATACTACAGTATGTACAATAATATAGTGTAACGGTCCAGTCTGATTTGTCTTTTCTCCCACTGCAAAATAGCAACCTGTCGTGCACGAGAAAACTAAAGAAAAACGGTACTTGAGCGAAGGCGCTGTTCTCATATACATGTAAATGTGTTAGGGCAATTCGACGAAAACAAAACTATATAAGGAGTGTGACGTCACGAGCATGGGAAAATTAATGTTTACAATGCAAAATCGACTATTGCAAAGTTTTTTTTAATGAACAAAAGCATTTTTTAGTCAATTTTGATGCACTGATCTCCAATCTCAAGTTATTATCATTATTAAATATGTATTTGTTAGTTTAATTTAATTTACAAGTAAATAGTGTTAGTAATTTTTCAATAAATAAGTATATTGCAAATTCGAATATACAACTACGATCGTAGCTTATTAAGACAGAGAAGCAAGAATTTGACACTTTGATAACTGCTTTTTTGACTGAGTTATCAAGAAATGAAAAATTTATAATTTATTTAAACAATTAAAATTGCGTTGATAGATAGCGATTCGACTGTATATATCTATAAAATTAATGATAACGATTGTTACCAATTTGCTGATTTTATAATGGCTAAAAGAGAAATTTACAAAGTCGTTTTTTAATTATTATTTAAAATTGGATTGTTAAGTTAATCGTTTTTATTTTGAATAATGTTTCACTCATCATAAGCGATTTTTTTATGTGAAAGTTTTCCATAAATTTATTGTAAATTTTGTGTTATTTAAATATCTAACTTATATCATTTATAATTTTAAAAGGCGTTTTTTCCTTGAGAAACGATTTATATTAAAAACTTTGTTATTCCATACTTGATTTTTTAAATTATTAAATTTCAATTTCGATTGAGCCATTTTGCGACAAAACCTGTAGAAAGTATATGCTAATATCAAAACTAGCGTTGTAGGGGCTACCAAGCGTAAAAATGAGCCAATTTCGCAAGTATAAATTCGCTCGTCACTGCGGCAAGAGGATTCACTATCTTACCTTGCTTAGCAGCGCGAGAATTGAATCGAAATAAAGACTCAGCTATTTCCTGAGACTGATTTCATTATTCAATGGTTAGCCTGCTATTTCTTTCCTATATGATAATCTAAGCGCTCAACTCATAAGACTCTCTTTCTCTCTCTCTCTCTCTCTTTCTCTCTCTCTCTCTCTCTCTCTCTCTCTCTCTCTCTCTTCTCTCTTCTCTCTCTCTCTCTCTCTCTCTTCTCTCTCTCTCTCTCTCTCTCTTTCTCTCTCTCTCTGGCGGGGGGAGTGTAACATGGGACAAGATCAGGCAGCGGTAGGCTAATTGACCGCTGCTGACTCTCTCATGCGCAATGAGTAATATTGGCTCTCGCGACGTATTTGACAAAGTACAGGTCACACGATATTTTCATATTTTGTATTTATTTCATGTTTCCCTGAGTCAAGGCCATATGACGTCACACCACACTTACAACACACTTACCAAGTACACACAAACAATTACCAAGCCCACTCTCGGAAGCTAAGTACAACGAGATGAGGGGCAATGCTAGCAAAGACGGAGAAGAAAAGGAATTCGGCAGAGAGTTCTAGGCTGCGGTCAACGCCGGATGTTCTAAACCCGCGTTCATCATACTGCGCCGAGATAACGCTTTCTCCGGCATTCGAAATTGTATTGCAAATTCATTCTTTGAATGGCTAAAGTGTGCCTCATTCAATCATAAGTGATTACAATTCATTGTTTGCCGTTATTTTGCCTAAATAATCACCTACCGTCAAAGGTCTTGTTCTGTGTTAATCAGCGAGCATGTATCAGTAAGTGAATTATCATAGCTCTGTAAGCAATTAAGATAACAGTCATTTCATGCTTATTAAATTGCTTCAATCATTCATGTGTGTGACTCAAATCTTGCTCTAAATGGAAATTTGACTATCGGCGAATCAACTACATCATTAGCGATTGTAAGTGACCTCGCGTTATTAGACTCTTTTTGTTTTCCTCTATGCCTGGCTTGACTATCGTACGGTCAAGCCGAAGAGAGCCAAAGTCCTGAAATTATAACTTTGAAATCTTTTGTTTAATTAGCCGTCGAATTAACCGAGTAAGTCGAAGCTCATTATCATGTTATTATTTGTTCAAATACCATCACGATTAATTGCCTAGTTTAATTAACGAGTATTTGTTTGTTCAATCTATAATAAATCTCACATTTATCTTTTACTTTAATTTTTATTATAAACATCTATTTGTATGCAATCTCCAGTTCCTTATCCCATTTTCTCTAGGTAAATTCACAGGAACCTGCTCCCGCTCTTCCATATTAGAGCTAGCCCTATCTAAAGGAGAGGCACTGCTCCCTCACTTCCCCTCAGTGCCTGGCGCCCTTGCGCTAATCGCGTGAATCGTCGTACATTTCTTGCCTTACCGTAACCACGCTGTTACAATTGGCAATCACAACAGCTCCGCCTCGCTGATACCCGCCAAAATTTGAATCACTCGAGCAACATGAGCAAATTCAAGTGTGTTGTCTGCGGGGAAACGTCGAACCGGAGGCTGAAAAATTGCACGGTGTGCCAGAAGCCACGGCACAGCAAGTGTTCTGGCAACAGAAAAGATGGCCCCTGTGACAACTGCCGAACTGACCCATCGAAGCCAGCAACAACAACAGCAACGTCGAGCATCGCAGTGCACAAATCGGCTACTCGAAAATCAGCGGATGGAAACATGAGTGCCGCGCCAATCCCATCGTCAGCGAAAAATCAGGTGAGCAAGCTACGTGCAAACACCAACATGAGCGTACCAGCCCATCGTCGCTCGTGCGCTCTATCTATGCCCTCACCTACCATGGGGCGTGGCCTATCGCCGAAACGAACTCCTCGCCCGCCGAGTCGGCCGGCCGGCGATAAGCAGACGACAGTTCGGCTGGTTGCAGGTGAGAAGGCGCCTACCGAACTTCAAGGTGTGTCAGAACCGGTTGCCGCTATACAGGCGTCTGGATTTGACCAGAGTGTTAACGCGGAAGTGACAAACAAGAACGATGCGCACAAAAGTGTAGATGAGCACTTCCTAGGGACGCCGGAGCTGCCAAGTATTAATAATATACTGATTCCGGTAAGCACCCTGGAATTATTATTCCAGCGTTTCGATACCATCGAGCGACAAGTCGATGAAGTAAAGGCCCTTGTGAAGCGGCATCCGGAACTGGAAAATGCTTCTATGGTCACCACATTACCTGTGACTGAAGGAGAAATTACCGGTGAAGGGCGCATTGCAACACTAGAGGGCATGATCCGAGATCAGTCCTCGATGGTCAAAGACCTGCAAAAATTATGCGGTACTCTTCTGGAGAGCAACCGCTCTCTAGAAGAAAGATTAATACAAGCATGTACCAGGTCTGGTGATGTCCGGTGTGCTTGCCGGGTCACCAACATAAAATGCAGCCCAAAGAACGTTAATCATGACAAGGCCAAAGCCAGCATTGACAAAGGGGTTATCAATGTAACACCCGCTTCAAGCTCCAGAGGTGCCGCTTTGAACCTGGAAGGGGACGCAGTGCGGTCTGGTGTGCTAGAGGGGGTTTCGTTACCACAAAGTGGAGGCGCTGAAGGCCATGAGGTCATAATACATGGCCTTCTGGACGAAGCGTCCAACGTTTCCCCTGATGACTTGCGTGGGCTGGCTCTTGCGGCCCTGAAGGTCGTTCTGCCTTCGGTGACGCCAGAGGGCGTGACGGGGGTTAGGGTCTCGCGGCCTCGTCGACGGCCAGCTGAGGGCGCTGTAGGTGCGGGGGCGGTGAGTCAGGAGGGACAACGGAGAGCAGGGTCATCCCAGCCCTCCTGCATTGTAGGGGTCAGAGACGAGGGACTTTTGCGCGATATAATGAAGGCGAAGCGTGGCATGCCCCGTGCTTGCATTACGACTGAGGATCTAGACAAGGACCTTCTCGGGCCGGAGTTGTCTGCCAAGGTGCCACGGAGGAAATTATTTATTAATGAACTCCTGCCCCAAGCTCAATTCAAAACATTCCTTACCCTGAAGCCGGTAGCAAAGGGGCTTGGCTTCAGGTATGTGTGGCACAGTGGTGGGAGATTTCTGGTCCGACGAAGGACAGGAGAGAGGGCGTACGCGATCGAGACGGCAGCGGGTCTGCAGGCGATTAGGTCGGCGTGGGAGTCGACTGACGGGTCGCGGTCGTCAGCGGAGTTGAGCACTGACTCGGGGAGCGCTACGCCATCGGGAGGAGAGAGCATGCGGCGGATCAGGGAGGGCACTGATGCCAACTCGCAATTGGCATGACTCGGGACGGTGAGCACCAAAGATGTTGCATGTCGCGGTGGTTTCCTCAGGGCTGGGTTTCTCAACATTAACTCGCTTAGAGCGCGTGTTGAGAGGCTTCGTCTGTTCCTGGCTGGGGATGCCATCTATCATGTTTTTGGGGTTGCTGAGACCTGGCTGGGACCTGTGGTTGATGATCACATCATACGGGTTCCGGGGTACTCGGTGATAAGAAGCGATCGCAACATTAATGGGGGCGGTGTTGCCCTCTTCATACGCGAGGAATTTAAAATTACAAGGCTGGCTTCATCTGCCACTCAAGGGCCTGGGAAACCGGGAATACCAGAGTACCTGTTTTGCAGTATTGAGATGGGCAATTCTCCTCCGGTGCTTATCGGCGTCATCTATCGCCCGCCTAGGGTGCCTCTGCAGCAGGGCTCGGATCTTTTTGAGGTGTTGAGGGATCTCTGTGGTGATTTCAGTCATAAGATCATCATGGGTGATCTCAATG